TATAGACAATTGGGGCATATACGTTTAAGAATAAAAATATTAAATATTAGAAAATATGGCATCAGTATACTAATGCCTAATCAATTATCCTTTATCTTACAAAGGGAGGTATGATTCAATATTTAGAAATTCATTGATGAAATTAATCACATTAGTAGAATGAATGAGAATGTCATGTGACTATGTTCATCAATGCAAAAAGAAATGGGCAGAAAATTGTTTAATACATTTAGTAAGAAATTGGTGGAAAGATTTCTGAAAAACATGAGAATAGACTTATACAAATGAAAAATAACGACTCCAAATGTTTGGGTAGGAAAATTCAACAATATTGAGAAGTCAAATAATCTTCGAAGAAATTTATATGTTGAGTTTGACCTAAATATAATACTATACACTTGAATTCTGAAGATTTAAAAAATGTATTGCTATGAAAAGTGAACAAAAAAAATCCATGAACAATTTTAAATAAAAAAAGAATGACTTCCCCTGTTATATATTATTAAAACATGGGGACCCTGCGTGGTGGCTCATGCCTGTAATCCCAGCTACTTGGGAGGCTAAGGCAGGAGAATTGCTTGAACTTGGGAGGCAGAGGTTGTAGTGAGCCAAGATCATGCCATTGCACTCCAGCCTGGGTGACAAAGCAAGACTCTGTAGGAAAAAAAAAAATAAATAAAGCGTAGGAATTAAAATGGTGATTCGTGAATATAAATACAGATGAGTGGAATACAAATTTTAAAATAGAATAAAGTATGTGAAAATGTTCTTTACAGTAAGACAGCAGTGACAAAAGTAGAATTGTGGACTTGGGGGGTCTCATTGGAGACCACAGCCCATAAATGTGTAGCTGAGCCTTTGTCTTCTGATGTGTTTTGTTGCCACAGAGATGGTGTTTCCACAAGTGTGAGGATATTCAACATTTGAAAGAGCAGCTTTGGCTATTGTCTGATGGATAACATTTTTTTCTGGCACAATACATATTGTAACCTGTTCTAAGAGCCCACAGCTTGTTTTCTGGTGAGCTGAGATGTGACTGCCTTCGGTAACACTTTATCACCTGCATCTGAGCCACTAAAAAGTCACATACTGTTTCAGTAATTTCTTTGGTTGGTGACTTGCCTGGTGTGAGACCATCCTGGGACCCCGCCTATCCAAGCCCACAGGTGATAACAGTCTGTGAACAGTCCAGGGAGAGAGAAACTGCTTGGGGAATGCCGGACAGTCTATGAACAGACGATGTATGTGAAGACTTCTACCCATTGTTGAGCTTTGGCTAACTGTTCAAACTATGTTCAAATAAGATAAATGCTGATTGTAACCAATGCAGCTGTTCTGTACCCCACTTCTGTACCTTTTTCTGTATGTCACTTTCTTTATTCTGTCCTCTCTGACCACACAGCAGCACGGAGCCTCTCTGAACCATTCTGGTTAAGGGAGCTGCCTGGTTTGCAAGTCATTCTTTGCTCAATTAAATCCTGTTCAACTTAATTTGCCTAAAGTATTTTTTTTTTTTTTTTTTTTTGAGACAGAGTTTCTCTCTTGTTACCCAGGCTGGAGTGCAATGGCACGATCTTGGCTCACCGCAACCTCCGCCTCCTGGGTTCAGGCAATTCTCCTGCCTCAACCTCCTGAGCAGCTGGGATTACAGGCACGCGCCACCATGCCCAGCTAATTTTTTGTATTTTTAGTAGAGACGGGGTTTCACCATGTTGACCAGAATGGTCTTGATCTCTTGACCTCGTGATCCACCCGCCTCAGCCTCCCAAAGTGCTGGGATTACAGGCTTGAGCCACCGCGCCCAGCCCCTTTTTTTTTTTTTTTTTTTTTTTTTTTAACATGACCAAGGTGAACAAGAGCTTGGAATACCTTAGGTGGAAGGAACATGGTTGGTGATGTTTTTGGGAGGGTGAGTCGAGGCCAGAACGGGGTTTGAGGGCCAGAGAGGGACCTGCGTGAGAGGCTGATGAGGGTGCTGTTGGTAACTGTGCCTGCTATACCTGGACAAGGTTATTACCCCTATCAAACTTGAGAGAAGAGAAAGAGTTCTCAAAACACAAGCAGGAGGTATTTCCCTCCCATTTTTTATATTTCTACAAAGAGCCAAGAGCCAAGTTCGTGGCTTCTGTCCCTCATTCTCACAGTGTTCACAGTAGCCAGCCATGTCCAGTGAGGAGGGTTCAGGTGCACAGAGCAGTCTTCTAAATGCTAATCTACATCTTTCTTCATCACACAATTTTTATCATGTCAATTTAAAAAGTTTTGTTTCATGAAAAGAAATATTTTTAAGGCCGGAGAAGACCAGGGGCGGTGGCTCATGCCACCAGCCCACACTTTAAATGGCCCCTGTGGGAACCTTAGCTCAGTTTTCCCCAAGCTGACCCCAAATCCTCCAGCCTGGATGCTGCCTCCAGGGTCCACCCTTGTGGGAGTTCCCACTGAGACTCACCTTGCCAGAGCGCAGAAGGAGCCAAGCCAAGCTCATTCTGCAGTGGCTGATCACCTTGGACAATCTGTCTGCTCTGCGGTCAGTTACACCACTGCTGTCTACTCTCAACCAGGTCCAGGCCAAGAGACGTGGGTGCCCGATCATGCCTTTAGTAACAACCCCCTGCATCTCGCCTATCTCCAGCTTCCCCTGTCCCTTGAAGCTTGGTTTCCTTGATCAGGATTAGGGGTTTTCAGTGTGGCGGGGACTCCTGACAGTCACAGAATGGCATCTATGAGGCCAAACCATGTCTGAATTCACACTCCATGTTATTTAACCTTTTCATTCTTCTCTGCTCAGCAGTGTGGGGTGGAGTTCCCCAGAGCAGAAGCAGTGGTGAGAATTCAGCTGTCTCCTATTAATCCAAGTATTTCAAAAGCCCCAGAAATCAGAGCACCATGGTCTCAAGATAAGCAGGAAACCTCTTTCAGTGGGTATGTGGACCTGGGAAGGTTTAGAGAATCCAATTCCAGACCTTTGAAGTCCATTCTCACTCCTCAAAATCAACTAGACCCAGAAACTGTCCAGAGGAGTCCCTGCCCCCGGGCCCTTCTCACGCCTCCTTCCTTCTCCCACTTGCCAATCTCACCTGCCTGAAATTTACAAGGGGTATTGTCTCAGACCTTCAGAATAGGGATCCTTCAGCAATTCCCACAATTCTATGCCATCCATCTGATTAGAGGTTTATTTCCAATACAATTGGAATTTCTGTTTCACAAATATTTATTACAATTGGAAACATTCACTCTGGTGAACTGAGTTTTACTAAATATGTATATATATGTTATACATACATAAATTTCCTCTTGAATATATATGTATATGTCAGAGCTATCTATCCAGTTATCTATATGGATAGATAGCTCTGACATATACATATATGGAGAGAGAGACAGAGACACCAACAGAGAGAAAGATGGAAAATGAGAGAAGCTTCAAGTAAGTAGAAGGGGACCGAACAAAACACTGAGAAGCATGAGTGTGTCAGTTGCCTTAGGATGAAGTTAAGTGGGGGCAGTGGATCAGATATACAAGTTCAAGAAGTAAAAGGCAGGATGTAAAACTCGCAGCTGCTAACGAAGGACTTGTCTGGTTTTTCAAAAGTTATATAGTGGTCAGGGCCAAATCATCACCCCAGTAACACTGTGTTGGACACATCCGAAAAAGAGTGAGGTGCGGTTTGTTTTAATGTGTCTGGATCCCGCCACAATTAAAATCCTTTGCTATAATTTAAACATATGATGCAAAAATAAGTGTCTACAAAACCTGTGTGGGGGTATACACAAAGATTCTCTAGGGAGAAGGGACAAAGAATTTGAAGACAATTAGTTTAAAGGAAAGAATATCTGGAAGAAAGTATAATCCCCTAGCTGATGTTACTTTTCCTCCTGAAACCTGCAATGGGGCTGCCCAGGCCTTTGTCTCCAATTGTTCCATTTACTTGTAGGAAAATGAGACTTGGTTCTCATCATAGTTGTAGCAGTCATGATGTGCATGGCCTCAAGGAAGTTCCAGAGGATGTTTTAGGCTGCAGGGGACATTTAGAGGATGTTTCTTTCCAAGGAAAATGTTCATGTCATGACTTTTATTCCACTAACATAATTTGAACATACAGATGTACTTTTAAATAATGGGCCAGATGACCCCAGTTTATCTACTGGGATATACCTGTATTTGCTTAAAGAAGTGCAGTCTTCTATTAGGGCAGGCGTCCTTTCTACTGTGGAGATTTGCATTCTGAGATCCTGTGAGTCTGAGCCTGTCTGTTAGGAGCTGCCCCTGTCTACTATTAGGGTGGCCTCTTTAGCTTTGGCTCTACACCACGTGGCTGGAAGATTTTTTTTTACTTTGAAAGGGGGCAAAAATGATACAACTTTTCAGTGTACATTTTTGTATTGTTTTAATTATTTCAATTAGTATGTAGTGACTTTGAAATCTGAGAAACATCTACTGAAAATGGAAAATACTAGGAAAAATATTTAAAAAGAAGTATTTCTGCTTTATTGGGTACCTGTCGACATGGTAATGAACAACACAAATGCATCTCCATTCTTTATTTTGTATTATTATTTTTTCTTTGAGATGGAGTCTCGCCCTGTCACCCAGGCTGGAGTGCTGGGGCATGATCTCAGCTCGCTGCCACCTCTGTCTCCTGGGTTCAAGCAATTCTCCTGCCTCAGCCTTCCCAGTAGCTGGGACTACAGGCACACACCACCATGCCCTGCTATTCATTTCCATTCTTGTGGAGCGCAGCCTGGTGGAGTTTGATCTACATGCTTACAGATGGCTTATCTGCAAAATGTGTCTAAAAAGAAATTTTATAGGATAAATTTTTATACATGTTTGAAACTGGCACAAATGAATAAATGTAATGCAAGCTGTTATTAATACATCATCTCTGAATTAGGAGAGTAATTGCCATCATATCATTGTGATTACACAAAGCCTCTGTCATGTAACAGGGTCTCAGTAAATGTCAATTTCCATAGCATTTCGAGCCTGGATACTGAGACATGGGGCAAAGGGCAAGGACATGTCCCCGGTTTGGCTCTTGCATTTTCTGGTTTCCTCATTTATCTGTATTTTTTTTCTTTTCTTTTTGCCTTGTTATCTTTCTAACTTCAGGGAAGCCTCTCCCTTCTTCTCCTCCCCAGAATGACCTATCACCCTCCTTCAGGACCTAGTTGCAGGGCGTTTCTGTTTTAGGCTGACATTCGACTCCTTGCCTACATCTATAGCTTGGCACAAAGAGATTCACACACCCTCAAGAGCGTGGGTGAGACATACACAGCCTGTTAGAGCTGAAGGTGATGCTAACCTGGGAAATCATGACCTCATAGCAGAGCAGGATGTGAGAGGTTTTGGAAAGGAGGTGGCCTTGCAGGGCAGGAGGGATTTTTAAGGGGAGGTGGTGGATTGGGAGAAACACCCAGTGAAGAGGGAAACGAATATGTAAATTCTACCCTTTTCTCTACCCAGACAGATGGCTCTTCTTAAGGCCAATAAGGATCTCATTTCTGCAGGACTGAAGGAGTTCAATGTTCTGCTGAATCAGCAGGTGAGTCCAGGCTTTCCCTTTCAAAGGACTGGCCTGGAGACTGGGGGATGGAGGATGAGGGCAGAAAACAGAGGGTAATTGGAGCGGATGAAGTAATGGTGGAGTTGATGGAAACAGCAAGAGACGCGGGATACAACGCAGAGGAAAGAGGATGTGAGAGCTGGTGTTGCCAGACTCTTCTGAGTTTTCTGAATTCCATTGCTGACCACATTCTCCCTTGCCAATTACCTCTCCGCAACCCCCCAGGTCTTCAATGACCCTCTTATCTCTGAAGAAGACATGGTGATCGTGGTGGAGGACTGGATGAACTTCTACATCAACTATTACCGGCAGCAGGTGACCGGGGACCCCCAAGAGCGAGACAAGGCTCTGCAGGAGCTTCGGCAAGAGCTGAACACTCTGATCAACCCTTTCCTGGCCAAGTACAGGGACTTCTTGAAGTCTCGTGAGCTCCCGAGTCACCCACCGCCCTCCTCCTAGCCCAGGGACCCAGACCCTCCTCTCGGAGAAACTCTCAGACCTTCCTGTCCTCAGGCTATGCTCTTGCTCTACCCCGACACCTCAATAAAGAGCAGTGCTGGTTTTGTTGGACTTCCTGGCTTTTCTTCCATGGTCTGTCCTGACTTGCGGAGGCGGTCGGTCCCTTTCCTCCCGCCCTCCCTCTTAGATATGCTTTTGGAGGCTTAATGCCTTAGATTGGAGGTTAGCAGCCTTGAGTGACCACTGGGCATCGATTCTAAACTAAAACAGGCTGAACGAGGGCCAGGAAGGCGGGGACTAGAGAGGCGGTCGCCTGCGCGGGGAAGGGGGTGGCAGAAACAGGAAAGGGGGATAGAAGCCCCCCAGACATGGTCCGTGGACCTGCTTGTCAAGGAGGAAGCTGTTGGAAGTCTCCCGGTCTTGTTCATCCTGCGCCAGGTCCCCCGCCTCAGCTTTTCAATCCCCTGTTCGTAGCCCCAGTTCAAACAACATTCTGGGATCTTCGGACTCTGACTACCAAAGAATACTTCCTCGGAGCCCCGAGCATTGCAGGAAGTTAGAGCTGGAAGGGATCTTGGGAACCCTTCAGCGCGCCCCTTATGTTTCAGGCGGGTGAGCCCCTTCCCTTTGGGTCCAACATCCCTGGGCGCAGATACCAGGATTGGGAAGCAGAGGAGCCCGCCTTCCCCCTGCCCCAAATTTCTCCGGTCAATTCCCGGCCTAGGGGCCCTTTCTCCCAGACCTCTAGACTCGAAGCCTCTTTATTTTAGGGTTCTGGGCAGAACCAGGGCCAGGCCAGGCTCCCGAGCTTTTTAAAAACGAAAGGTGTTAGACCCGCGGCGCAGTCTCCAGAAAAGGCCTCCAGGCGCAGAGGGGAGGCCCCTAGGGAAGAGTGAGCGGGGCGGCGGCGCGCGGGGGGCGGGTGTGCCCGGGGTGTGGGTGCGTGGAGCTGGGCAGGAGGTTGCGCAGGGAGGGTGCGGGTGCGGGGCGAGAGTGGGCGGAGATCAGAGATGCCTGGGGGGCGGGGGCACCCAGGGTGTGGATGAGCGGGGCCGGGGCACGCGGAGCTGGTGCTGGGGCGGATCGGGGTGCCCGGGGGAGCGGGGCTGCCCGCGGTGTGGGTGAGCGAGGTGGGGGCGCGCGCGGGAACCTGGAGGGCGCCCCCTTGGGCCTGTTCCGTGTTCTCTCTAACGCGGGAAAAGTTTGGGCTCAGAGGGATTGTTGCTGGTTCCAACCTCTCGGACCTGAGAACCGACTGTTGTTTTGTGGGTCTCTGCAGCCTGGATCAGGGTGAAAAGGGAACTAGCTCAGTGCCCCCAGCGGTGCTTCCAAACCTGGGGTGTGGTCGGCCCCAGACCCAGCCTGGGAGAGTGGCACCTCCCGGGGAAGCAGGCGGGGAGCACCTCTGGGGTAAGATCGGTGGTCCAGGCAGAGGCTGGGGCCTTCTCCTTCGTCCTCCTTCTCAGGAGATCTCAGTCTCTGAATGGGACCACGGCCTGTTCAGGCAGGACAGTAGTAGGCAGCCTCACCTTTGCAGGAAAGACCTGGCCAGGTGTGCGTGGGTGGAGGACAGTGACTGGGGAACGTTAGGAGAGTCACAGCTCATCGCTCCAGTGCCTTATGCGGAACGGCGAAGTGACTGCATGTAACCCACACACATCCTCTCGTGGACTTCACATCATCGCTAGATTAATTATAACACCGACCATAACGTCAGTGCTACGTAAATAGTTGTTACACTGTATTATTTAGGGAATAGCGACAAGAAAAGAAGTCTGTACATGTTCCGTACAGAGGCACCATCCATTTTTCCCCCCAAATATTTTTTATCTGTGGTGGGTTGAATCCGCAGATGCACAACTCACAGATACGGAGGGACCACTGTGTTTATCTTTCAGCTTAGCTGAAAAGAATGTCAGAAGCCATTTTGGCTCAATTCATGATGAGGAACCACTTCTCAGATGCTGGAGGAAAAATGACCAATTACAGGTACAAGGTAGAAAAGATTCTTACTGGGAAGTTCAACATTGAAACTCCATTCCGACCATTCCATAAGCTTGTGCAATTGAGAAGCTGCAAAAAATATTTTTAGGACAGAAAAATCTGTACCTGCACTTCCTGTTCTCTCATTACTGTCACCAAAGCGGTTGTAAATCTACAAGAAGTAAAACTGGGCGGTGGTGTGTGCCTCAGGGATCCAAGTAACTAGGATCACAGGCAGCCACCACCAGGCCCAGATAATTTTTGTATTTTTAGTAGAGACGGGGTTTCACCATGTTGGCCAGGCTGGTCTCAAACTCCTGCCCTCAGATAATCCTCCTGCCTCAGCCTCCCAAAGTGCTGAGATTACAGATGTGAGCCACTGCACCCAGCCTCTTGGAAGGTTTTAATTGCTACTTCAATTTCTTTATTTGCTACTGGTCTGCTCATGCTTCCTTTTTCTTCTTAATTATATCTTGGCAGGTAAAAAAGTTTTTATTTGTATAAATTTAGGGGTATAGGTATAATTGTGTTATATGCATAAATTGCATAGTGGTGAAGTCAGGACTTTTAGGATATCCATTATCCAAATAGCACACACTGTACACAGGAAATACTTTTTCATCACCCACCCCCTCCCACCCCTCTGCCGTCACAAGTCTCCACTGTCTATCTTCCCATACCCTACATCCATGTGTACACATTATTTAGCCCCTACTTATATGTTAGAACATACAATACTTATCTTTCCATGTCTTACATATTTCACTTAAGATGATGGTCTACAGTTCCATCCACATTCCTGCAAAAGACAGAATTCCCTTCTTTTTTATGACTGAGTAGTAATCTGTGTGTGTGTGTGTGTGTGTGTGTGTGTGACATTTTCTTTATCCAGTAATCCATTGATGGATGCTTTGATTGATTCCATATCTTTGCTACTGTGAACAGTGCTGCAATAAACATACAAGGGCAGGTATTTTTTTGATATGATGATTTCCTTTCTTTTGTGTAGATACCAGATAGTGGGATTGCTGGATTGAATGGTAGTTCTATTTTCAGTTCTTTGAGAAATCTCCACACTGTTTTCAGTAAGGTTGCACTAATTTACATTCTTACCAACAGCGTATAAGGATTCTCCTTTCTCTGTATCCTCACCAATATCTGTTATTTTTTGTCTTTTTAATAATAGCTGTTCTGACTTCATGTAAGATGATTTCTCATTGTGGTTTTAGCTTGGAGTTCTCTGATGATCAGTAATATTGAACATTTTTTCATATGCCTGCTGGCTATCTGTATGTCTTCTATTCATGTCCTTTTAACAGTTTTAAACGGAATTATTTATTTTCCTTTGTTGAATTGTTTGAATTTCTTATAAATTGTGGATATTAGTCCCCTGAAACATAAGTATTTCTAATATTTCCTCCCATTATTCAAGTTGTCTGTTCTCTTTGTTGATTATTTTACAGTGCAGAAGCTTTTTAGTTTAAGTTCAGTTTGTCTGTTTTTCTTTTTGTTACCTGTGCTTTTTTTTTTTTTTGACAGAGTCGCGCTTTGTCACCCAGGCTGGAGTGCAGTTTCACAATCTTGGCTCTCTGCAAGCCCACCTCCCAGGTTCAAGCGGTTCTCTCCCAAGTAGCTGGAATTACAGGCATACACCACCACCCCTGGCTGTTTTTCGTATTTTTAGTAGAGATGGGGTTTCACCATGTTGGTCAGGCTGGTCTTGAACTCCTGACTTCAGGTGATCCTCCTGCATTGGCCTCCCAAACTGCTGGGATTACAGGCCTGAGCCACCGCACCCAGCATTGCCTGTGCTTTTGGGCATTTAGTCATGAATTTTTTGCTTAGATCAATGTCTGGAAGAGTTTTCCTTAGTTTTATTTCCAGTATTTTTATAGTTTCAATTCTTACATTAAGTCTTTAATCCATTTTGAGTTGATTTTTCATACAGTGATAGATAAGTAGGGGTCCAATTTCATTTTTGTGCATGTGGCAATCTAATTTCCCAGCACCACTTATTGAATAAGGTGTCCTTTCCTTAGTGTATTTTCTTGTCAACTTTGTCAAAGATTAGTTGGTTATAAACATGTGGCCTTATTTCTGAGCTCTCTATTCTGTTCCATTAATCCGTGTGTCCATTTTCATACCAGTGCCATGCTGTTTTGGTTACTATAGGCTTATGGTGTAATTTGAGGTCAGGCAATGTGATGTGGCCAGCTTTGTTCTATTTGCTTAGGATTGCTTCAATTACTTGGACTCTTTTTTGGTTGCAGATGAGTTTTAGTGCGGTTTTTTCTAATTCTGTGAAAAATGACGTTGGTAATTTGCATTCAGTCTGTAGGGTGCTTTGAGCACTTTGGTCTTTTTGCCTCTATTAATTTTTGTAATTCATAAGCATGGGATTTTTTCCATTTGTTTACATCATCTGCAATTGCTGTCATCAGTGTTTTGTAGTTTTACTTCTAGAGATCTTTCACCTCCTCAGTTATGTATGTTCCTAGGTATTTTATTATTTTTTTGTACCTATTGGAAATGGGATTGCCTTCTTGAATTTGTTCTGAGCTTAATCGTGATTGGTGTATAGAAATGCTACTGATATTTGTATATTGAATTTGTATTCTGAAACTACTGAATTCATTTATCAAATCTAAGAGTTTTTCTAGATATAAGGTCACATAATCAATGAACAGGGATAATTTGACTTATTTTCCAATTTAAACACCTTTTATTTTTTTCTCTTGTCTGATTGCTCTATCGAGGGCTTCCAGTACCATGTTGAATGTGTATTGGAATTTTTCTATTTTCCCTAAGCTATCCAATTGGTTGGTATATAGATGTTTATAATGTCCCTTATGATTCTTTTTATATCTGATACTTTACTAGTGGAGACAATGTCTCCACTTTCATTTCTGATTTTATTTATTTGCATATTGTCTCCTTTTTTCTGTATTAGTCTTGATGTTTGTTGACTTTAGTTTGGTAAACACCAACTCAGTTTTGTTAATTTTTCTATAGTTTTCCCATTCTCTATTTGCTTTGTTTCTGTTTTGATCTTTATCATTTCCTTCTTTCTGCTAATTTTTTTTTAGTTCTTTGGGGTATAATGTTATGGTATCATTTTGAGATCTTTC